TATGATAACTTTGTTATTAATCTATTTAAAAATATAAACTTTTTAGATTTTTAAATTAAATAGTAAATTTCTCCTTTTTTTTTAAATGATAATATAAAATTTTACATTTTTTTTGAAGATTTATTAGAGAATGATGATAATATAATAAATGATAATCTTAATCAAAATAGGATAATATTCATGTATTTAAATTAAAAAAGTAAAAATTTACTATTGTATACTTCAGGAATAAAGGAAATTTTAGATAATCTCATAAGATACTGAGATATATAATTTATTAACATATTCAGTAGATGTTAGTTTTTTTTTTTTAATTTAAAAATTCAAAAAATTTAAAAAAGAAAAATTTACTATCTTATTTAAAAATTCAAAAAAATTATATCTTTGAATAAAAAAATTGATAAAGTCATATTTTTATCTAAATCTTTTTTAATCAATTGAGAATTCACAAAAAACCAGTGTGTTGAAAATGCAAAAAATTTCATTCAAGATCAAACAGAATACAAAAAGAGTGGGAACTGTGGCAAAGAAATTTTATTCTGTTTGATCTTGAATGAAATTCTTTGCATTTTCAACACATTGATTTTCATGAATTCTCAATTGATTAGAAAATGTTTAGATAAAAATATGATTTTATCAAATTTTTTATTCAAAAATATAAATTTTTTGAATTTTTAAATTTAGAAAAAAAAAAAACTAACCTCAACTGAATATGCTAGTAAAATATATATATTAGTATTTCACGAGATTATCTAAAATTTCTTTTATTCTTGAAGTATATAATAGTAAATTTTTACTTTTTTAATTTAAATACATGAATATTATCTTATTTAGATTAAGATTATCATTTATTATGTTATCATCATTCTCTAATAAATCTTAAAAAAAGAGTAGAAAAATTGTAAAATTTTATATTATCATTTTAAAAAAAAGAAGAAATTTACTATTTAATTTAAAAACCTAAAAAATTTATATTTTTAAATAGATTAATAACAAAATTCTCATCTTTATTTATCTATTATCTTCTCAAATTATGAGATTTTCATATTTTATTATTTAAAAATTATCAATTGTAAATTCCATAATTCCCTTATGCAGGATCCACGTTGGGGTTGGGGAGGCAGTGGGAAGTCCAGGCTAAGGCAAAAAAAATTGTGTGAGAGATGATGCGGCAAGGGTGGGGCCCACAAGAAAGGGTGGAAAAAAAAAAAATAACCAGCGTGACCGTTGCATTTAACTGTCAATAAACAGCACCGTTAGTTACAGTGGACGGAGGGACGACATTGGGGTGTTTCTGCATTGCAGAGGGACGACATGTGGATTTAATTAATAGTAGAGGGACGACATGAAGCCAATCCATAGTAGAAGGTTTAGAATGCACTATTTTTGATAATAGAGGGATGATAGATGGCCTTAACCCGGTTTTAAACTAAAACTGGGCAAGGCGTAGGTATCTCCTTTATAATTAATTCGGAAACCACTTCTGTTTGATCTACCGGTCTCTAATTTCATTGTACCAACCGCAATTGAAATAAAGTTAATTTGAAGAGACAGTTGTGAAGATAGTTTAGTGGAGTTCGTACCTGTACAAAATTCACTTTGATAAATGCAAGGAAGGAGTTGTTTGTAAAC